TGGTGTGTAGTGGGTGCTGAGTGTGTGTCAGCTGCTGTGGCGCGGTGGTGTGTAGTGGGTGCTGAGTGTGTGTCAGCTGCTGTGGCTCGGTGGTGCGTGGTGTGTAGTGGGCGCTGAGTCTGTCAGCTGCTGTGGCGCGGTGGTGCGTGGTGTGTAGTGGGCACTGAGTGTGTGTCAGCTGCTGTGGCGCGGTGGTGCGTGGTGTGTAGTGGGCGCTGAGTGTGTGTCAGCTGCTGTGGCGCAGTGGTGCGTGGTGTGTAGTGGGCGCTGAGTGTGTCAGCTGCTATGGTGTGGTGGTGCGTGGTGTGTAGTAGGCGCTGAGTCTGTCAGCTGCTGTGGCGCAGTGGTGCTCAGGGTGCACGGTGTATCTGGGAGCTACTGTACGTTCTGGCTTCATTGAACACTCCTGGCATCCTCACTGTCACTGGAGGGCTTATCAGTCAGTTGATAACTTTGTGCAGAGGAGTTGATGATCGCATTTATCTCACACCCTTTGCACACAAAATCTCACTGCATCTTCAGCTTCACTGAGATAGGAACTGAAGCCCAGAGAGGTTGAGCAGCTTGCCCAAGATCACAAAGTCCTCCGGACATCCCTCACCCATCACAGGGTAAATGAGATCGTCTGTGTAAACATCACAAAGTCCTGCCCAGATGTAGCCCCTGTTCATGTTCCTGTTCTGAGAAAGGTAGGTCATCTTCCCTGGAGAGGAGAAATAGTAAAGAGGGTCCTGGCAGCCAGGTGCGGTGGCTCACGCCTGTAGCCCCAGCACTTTGGGAGACTGAGGCAGGCGGATTGCGAGGTTAGGAGATCGAGACCATCCTGGCCAACATGGTGAAATCCGTCTCTACTGGAAAAAACAAAATACAAAAATTAGCCATGTGTGGTGGTGCACACTTGTAGTTCCAGCTACTCGGGAGGCTGAGGCAGGAGAATTGCTTGAACCCAGGAGGCAGAGGTTGCAGTGAGCCAAGATCGCACCAGTGCACTCCAGCATGGCGATACAGCAAGACTCCATCTCA